ATTTTATAAGACTGTTCATGAGTTTTAAGGAAATGGAGAAACATATAAATAATTTTGGTATAGGATACTCTACATCCAAAAAGATTAATTCAATTCAAACCAAATTAATTAATAATTCAAATGACAATATTTCTCAGAAATTGACTGATAAAGTTATTATTGATTTAATAATTTATACAGTTCAGCCTATGTCCTTGGTTGATAATCCATCATTTACATGATGATTAAAACTCTATCTCCTAGTACAACAATTTTATGCCCCCAGACACTAATGAATAAAATAGCAGATAACTTTAAAATGATGTAAGATGCTCTAATAGTAGTGTTATCAGAGATATTATATATATGTACCACTGCAGATAGTTAAAAACTTATTTATATTTATAAATTGATCTGATTAAATATTTTTGAGCTTATTTGGGAATCACAGGCCATTGGCTAGACCCTAAGACTTTAAAGGGAAGATCTGTGGCATTAGCCCTCAAAATGATAATAGGATGCCAGACATACGATGCACTTACAAATAAAATTATTGATAATCTATCTTATATTAAAAATACGTATATAAGATTAAATACGCCCTTACCTTCAAGTGCTAGTATCGAGAGATTATATAGTAAGTATACTTTCCGATCGTCGCTCTAGACTTGGGGATGATAATATTGAAATGATTTTATTATTAAAATGGTACAAATTGCCATAAATATTTATTTTTATTATATAAATTTTTTTATAATCAAAACGAACTATATTTTAATATTTATAAATGTTGATTTTTATATATTTACTATAAAGCTACTTTTAAAAATAGCTAATAGCAAGCTACTTTTTTTGACAAATAGCGATAGCGGTAGTGCGCTATTTTTAAAAGTAGCGTTTAACAACTCTGGCATTTACCATTATTCTTATATGCAAAATAGAAAATATGATTAAAGTATAATTAATATTCTTCTAAATCTGTTTAAAATAATAAAAAATCTTGCTATAAATCTTCAGTTTAAATAAGTTAACTCTTAAATTATTTTTATACTTTTATTTATTTACTTATATGTTTTATATTAAATAGACTTTGAATTAAAAATAATAGCAAGTTTTACATTTTGACGTTTAACTAAATATTAATACTATAGTTTAACTTGAATTACCCATTCCGTCGTATTCTATATAAACTAAGAAAAACTTTTTTTGAATATATTAATCAATATGAAATTATTATAAATATTTTATTAAAAGTGGTCAGTACTTAATTTTTATTAGAATAGTTATTAATGGTAGAATTATATTTTTCCCTAAATTATTAGCAAGAAAAGCTAAACTAAGAATAAACTTGTTAATTTAACCAAGAATTTGTGTGATTTTAAGATTATATCTTATCTATAATTTGCCTTATCTCTATTAAATTGAATACTTAAAGTAAAAACAATAAACTTGGTATTGATTGCTATGTCTATAATTTTAAAAAAATTATAATTTGAAAAGAAATCAAGAATTTAAAATTGCCCCAAGGAAAATTTAAATTTCAAATTTAGGTTAATAATTTAAAATTAATTCTTTTTTTAAAACCGTTTTGAACCGGTTTAAAATATTTATAACAGTTCGGTTCGCCCTTCTTGTATTTTCTTTATAACGGTTTGGTTATTGTTCAGAAAATTATACAGGTTAATTCCTGATTGGTGGTTCGGTTCGAAACCCTGATATATATATGATATATATTACCTTTTATATTTTATTCGTGAATTTTTCAAGAGGTTTCTGGATTATTTTTTCCACTCTACAGCACATATCATTTAAAATTCGCAGTACATAAGGGTATGAATTAAGTTACAAATAAATAAATTAACTGAATAAAAATTCCGAATATAATTTTATTTTAAAAGATGGTGAATAACATATTTTGTAATTGCTATATATATATATATATATATATATAATAATCGCCCGTTTATAATTTGCATAAATTTTTAAATTATAATAAAAACAAAAAAGCTAATTTACATGTTAACTGCAACTAAAAACTATTAATTTAACAAACGATATCTATTCAAATTTTATAAAAAAACTTTCCGTACATTAAATATTGTCAATTTATACACAAGTTATAATTTCATCTTATAACAAATAATTTAATATATAAATATCAGAGACCTGCAGAGGTACCATTTGTACGGCCCGGCCCAGATTAAAAAATTTTCGGCCCGATCCGGATTTTTTTTTTAAATTTTTTACAGCCCGGCCCGGGTTTAAAAATTAAAGGCCTGGCCCGCATATATAGAAAAAAAATTTTTTTTAGGCCCGGCTCGGAATTTTTTATATTCGACTTGGTATATACAAAAAATTGATTATTTCGTATTTTATCATATTTTTCGGCGAGTATTATCATTTAATAAGCAAGTATATTCGCTAATATTGTTAAACGGCTCGTTTTGAACCGATTTTTAAAAACGGCTAACTCAATATTTTCGACAGAAAAATATTGAATAAGCCTTGAAATTTCGATACTATATGTCTAGACCTTTGCTCCTTCTATAAGCAAAATTTTCAGGCTTGCATAATATTTTTCTGGATAAAAAACTGAGTTAGCCGTTTTTAAAAATTGGCTCAAAACGAGCCGTTTAACAACACAACATATTTTAATTTTTTTAATCTAAACAGATATTTAGTATATTACAAATTGACACTATAAAAAATTTGTGTAAATAATATTTTGAGAATATACTATGTATTTATAAAAAAAAATAAAAATGATATTTTAATTAATAAAAAATATAACATATATTATATAATATTTAATCCTTTGCGTATTTATTCCATGGCAGGAAAACTATAATTTTATTATGTAATAGATACTATGAGTGTTAGCTAGTGTTAACTTTCACCAAACATTATATTAATCATAACTATATATAATCATTATAATCATATCTATTTGACGAATATAATAATTCATGCTGTTTATTTAAAAAAATACGGCCCGACCCTGGTATTTTTTTTAAAAAAATTTTCAGGCCCGGCCCGGGTATATTTTCAAATTTTAAAATATGGCCCGGCCCTGCAGGTCTCTGATAAATATAATTAAATCGCATTTTAAAAGCCTCCGCTACTATATTTTATAACGATAGTAAAGAGATAAGGGATTTAGTCGCTTTTAAAGAATTGTTAAAAAAAATTAGCGGGGGGGGGGGTCCCCCGTAGCTGTTCTCGCAGTACAACCCTGGCTCTTGAGTCGTATAAGCCCAATGTTATCATTATAATTGGGTAAATGGCTTAGCCAATCCGATTTTTTTTGGCTAAAGCTAAGCATGAGCCAATTTTTTTGGCTAAGGCTGCGATTATGATTTTTGAGTGGCTAAAGTTTAGCGTAAGCTGATTTTGGTTGGCTAACGTTATGCTTTACTGTAAATTTTACAATTTAATTTAGAAGGAAGACAATTGTCATTTTACAACTTTTCTAATGTTTATAATAAAATAGGTAATAATTAATATTTTGAATCAGTTTTCGTGTAATGATGGGTGACAATTGTCATATTCGGCATTTTAAAACTTTCTTAGTCAAAATAAATCGGCTCAGGCTTATCCAAAAAAATTCTGCCTCGGCTTAGCTAAAAAATTTTGCCTTAAGCTTAGCCAAAAAAATTTGCTCAGGGTTAGCTTTATTTTAAAAAAATCGGCTATTACTTACTATCACACAACTCATCAAGATCTTGTTGTTTTTCTCTTAATAATATTCATAATAAGAATCCCATCTAGTAGAATTTGGGCATATCAGATACCTACCCAATTTTTTTATTATATTATCTGCCAAATTTGTAAACATAAGATTGGCATTTTTGAAAGGAACTTGGAGATATTAGTTTAAAACTTCTATTATCTAATTCTCTGCATCAACTGTGGCCAACAATTTGAATGAATGCGTTTATGAATTTGAACACGTTTCGGTTTGTGTAAATGAAAATTGAACGTATTCGATTTTTTTCAATGAACAAGAACACTAACGATTCATTTTTTTAATTTTAAGCATCACAAATATTACTTATTTAATATTCCAAACTACTTACTCTCGCATCCCTTTTCAAAAATGATAGATTTCGTTATTTTATGATTTTTTTATGCATATATAAATTGGGAGTTTTTAAAGGGTCGCCAAATACTAGGGCTGTGCCGATCACATATTTTTCACCGATCCGATATATATAGTGATTTTTCACAACCCCCTTTTGAACCAAATGTAATTAAAAAATCAATATTTTTATGCAAAAAATCGAATTATGCATTTTATTTAATTTTTTATTTTTACAATAATTTAAAAAAATTATATTATAATAGATAAAATAAATATATTTAATAATATATCCAGTTGGTATGAATTATAAAATTGTAATATTTAATATATAAAATTATAATATATTAGATATTTTTAAATAAAATATTTCCATAATTCAGATACCATATTTAAAAAAATTCTTTCATTTAAAGTATAAATAATAAAATTGGCCTTATTATTTAAAAATATTTAAAATAAATAAAACATTGGGTATTCCTTTCTATTTTTATAAAAAAAAAACTTTTAAAATACTATAAATCTATTTAAACAAATAAATAAAATTTAAGGAGTGTTGTGCAATTGATTTGTTTAAAAAAAAATTATTTAGAAAATAATATTAATGTAAAATAAATATACATAACATAAAATAACAAAAAAAGAAAAGTAAAAAAATCGGATCGGTTTTTACAAGTATCGGCCCGATCCGATATTTTTGGAAACGCTAAATATCGGTGCTGATCCGATCCGATATTTAATATTGGCACAACCCTACCAAATACACTTTCACCTTTAGCTGTCAAAAGGCTTTGAATGACTCACTAGATAAACTATTTTAATAAATATGAATACAATAGAAAGTTAAATGGATTTTTTAGATCTATTAGAAATAATTATATATTTAAAAATATAGATCAATATAAACAAAATATGAATAAATGAGGATGGCCTTTTATATAATATATTTATACAATTTATTTGCTCATGCTTTAAAATTTATTAAACCTCATAATATTTAAAAAAAATTACATTATAATTCAATATAAATGGATCAACTAATTTGTACAACTAAAATTTTTTGACTTTCCTCAAAATATTGATTGGGGTGGTTAATTGCTGGAGCTTTTTCCATTGTTATATTATGTTTATATGCAAAGTGTCTAGAACATGCGATTTGAAAATGTGAAGATTGTGCAAGTGAAACTATTTCTTCAATTTGTGTATCACTAATTTTATTGAATTTTGAGCGTTGAAATGGATTTGTTTCATATTTTATATTTTGTCTCAGGACAGATACATCCATATGCTTAAATGGGCAACCTTATAAAATAAAATGTAATCAATTTTTTTAATGATAATCTAATAACCATGGAAATCTTGAGGACCTGGAGTTGCACCCATGATGACTTTTATGCAATTATAAGGTGTATAATCAGCTTTTTTACCTTCTTTTCCATACATGTGTCTAACATTATAAGAATATTGTTTTTGAAACTATATATATATATTATATATAACATTACAATAATGTAAATAAATTAATATAATACATTTTCTAAGGATATAACTTTGATAAATTCATTTTGCCAAAATTTAAGTGCCTCACTCATTGGCAAGCCTAATCCTTTCAAAAAAAGCCCATACTGCATACGACCCCAATGCTTTAATTTGTGATCTTTCAGTAAATTTTTATGAAGATTTAACATGCATAGTGGAAAACTTTCACTAATCTATTATAAAATAAATAAATAAAAATCTTATAGCTTAACTTTTTCTATGTCATTACTAGTTAAATTATCACCACTTATTGTTTTTTGTTGATATTTCCCATTATCAGCAGCTCCATTATACATTTGTTCCCCTCCTTCAATTAAAGATAGTAATCGTTTATCCTTTATTTTTGAAATATAATTCCGGGTATACTAATTATTATTAAGCATATTTTATATCATATTTTATTATACTGTTAAAATATAAGACAAATAGATCCTGAATCTTCTAATAATTATATGTATTAGTTCGTATTTTGGTACATAGGCCCAACCTTTGTTGATGTATACCCTTCTTTTTCTAATAAGTTCAGGTATTTCTATAAATGGAACCTTTAATATATCAGTATCCTTATCTTTCAATTTATTGTTCAAAGATTTAGGTGTAGAATTTATTAAATTTTTTAAAAGAAATTCCTTTTCTTCAAGAGTTAAAGGGATATAGTTTAAATTTTCATGTTCCATTATGGATTTCATATATTGTGAATTTGATATTTTATCATGAAAATTTAATTTATATTTTAAATATTCAACTTCATTTGATATAAACCATTTCCTTTGATCTTCCCTATAAATAGATTAATAACATTTTATACTAGTAACTTACGTTTTACAAAAACATAATCTTAATATAAAGTGGGATAAATGATCTCTAAGATCTTCAGAGAATTTTTGTAAATGAACATACTAAAAATCAGTTTTGATTAAACATATTATTATGATTACTTTAATTGTCAAATCTTTTCTTATCTTACGAATTTCGTTATCAAGGGCATCATAATATGCTGTAGAATATTTACCAAATCGGAAGCCATTAATTTCAATGGCATATAAAACTTTAAATCTATAAATATAAATATAAATTATACTATACTTTGCAAGCGCTCATAAGCTATAATATTAAAGTCATTGATTGATACTAAACCACTAGGTGGACTTTTATAGAAATAATTAGGTGTATCATTCGTTGATTTAAATTCATTATCGTTTTGAAATTGCATTTTTTTATAATTTAGCGCTTTATTTATCCATATGTGATATTTATACCACCTTAAGGAAAGTTATTTATATAATCATATTATTGTTTAGAAAAAAGTCGAAGCATCTTACAGACTTCCCAAAAATTATTTAATTAAATATCTCTATTGAACTCTATAATTCACAAATCTAAAACTAACGAAATCTTTTTATACATGATTGGATACTGTAAAAAACAAAAATAGAGTAATGGAAGGAAAAGATACATCATAATTCAATTATATACTCTATTTCGCAATATAATATCACAAATATCTGAATTCAAAGTTTTCGTGAATATAAGTATAACGAATTTAATTTTATTTAATTAATTTTTAAAATTCTACATCTGTTTTAAAACTAAAAATGTAATGTTTATATAGCATGTTACAAACAAAAAATCAATTTACATATTAATATAATAATTTATATAAAAAAAACAATCACAATATATAAAAAAAATCAATAACAATTTAAAGGTTAGTATTAATCGGTCATATCAACATTACACCCTTTAAAAAAAACGATCTCCACTCAGGTTTTTGCAGAATCTTATCGTGCAGGCAACGTTTCTTGATAGTTATATTGTCATCATTAGTATATTTCATTAACTTTTGCTATTGAAAGTTTAAAAGAGAAATATTTTATTTAAATATATTTTTAGTCTTTATTTCATTATAAAATTATCGAATTTTTTGGGCAAAATTATATTCCTGCTTGGTCTTTGACCAACAAGTCTCTGTTCTTATATTCCTAAATTTTGATCATCATTTCTTCTAAAACTTAAAGTAAAAGGTATTGCATTTTCAGTATTTATTTTCAAATGTGTCGTTTCATCAAGAGGTGTGCTACTCGTAGACCTTTTTTTAATTTGGTCTAAATGTCTTCTAATAATTTTGTTTCCTGTATCTACTCCAAATATTAAATTCCCATTTTTGCGTTTTACCGTGCCTTTTTCCCATATATTATCCTTGAAGGTTTTATACCAAACTTTGTCACAATTCATGATATTTCTATTTGACGATAAATTGCGATTAAATTCATTCACTTTATCTTCTTGTGGTTTGATTAAATCCCATCTGGTTCTTATGGTTCTTTTGAACATCACTTCGCTTGGTATCTTGTTGGTTGTCGCGTTTGGTGTGTTGCGATAATTGAATAAAATCTTTTCTAAAGCTATATTTAAGTCTATTTTATTATTACTTTCCATATTCCTTTTCATGCATATTTTCATTGATCTTATCATTCGCTCACACTGACCATTAGACTGTTGGTGGTGAGACGAGGTGAAAATGTGTTCAATTCCATGATCACTGCAAAATTTCTTGAACAAGTTACTTGTAAAATTAGTACCATTATCACTGATTATTTTTTTGGATATACCAAATAAGCTGATTATTTTTAACAATTCTTTGATTGTTGACTCAGTAATTATATCTCTCATTCTTCTAATGATAGGAAACTTGCTAAATGCGTCAACACATACCATGAAATTGCTACCTTCAAATTGTGCAAAGTCGATGTGCACGCGTTCGAACTTTTACAGCTGTTTCCCATGGATTTTGTACATTATGAGGATTGTCCGCATATTTATTACACATATCACAGTTTATCACCTCCTGATATTTCAGTGTTTAGACCAGGCCACCACAAGTAATCTCTCGCCAAACCAAGATGCCCTTTGTGTAATTCCTGTAATATCTCCTTTCTCATATTTTTCGGTATAATGATCCTATTCTCTTTAAAAAAGATAATCTTGAACTAAGCTCCCATTTTCATATTTTTATATATCTGTTCATGATTCTTTATATTGTTAATTATATTTATTAATTCGATATCAATATTAGTTTCTTGGACTATTCTTTTAAAATTTATTGGTAAGTCCCAAAATTTGTCATCAATTATTTTATCAACTATCTCTTGTACCATTTCTTCTGTGTTCATCTGGGGTAATCTTGACAAACAATCCGGTACTACATTTCGTTTCCCGGGTCTATGAATTATCGTAAAGTCATAAGCTCCCATAGCCAAACTCCATTTTTGAAATCGCATTGAAATGGATGAATTATCCTTGCGTCCCTTCGTAAATATATAAACGAGTGACTTGTGATCTGTGATTATTGCAAATCTCGTACCAATTAAATATTCTTGAAACTTTTTTACCGCGTATATAACAGATAAAGCTTCCCTTTCTATATTTGTATAATTAAACTCTGATTTTAATAAAGCTCTTGACACGAAAGCAATGGGTTTTTCTTTGCCATCACCTTCAATATGAAATAAGACTGCGCCTAGACCTTTCTTTGAAGCATCAGTTGCAATGCCTATTGGTAGATGGATTAGTAGGCGGAGTACTTATCAGTTTTTTTAGGTAGTCGAAGCTTTCTTGATGTGTACTATCCCATAACCATTTGTCTTTATTAACCATTTTGTATAAGGGATCAGCTATGTCGGCAAAATTACATAAAAATTTCGATATTAGCTTGCCATCCCCAAAAAAGTTGCCAATTCATCTTTTGTCTTCGGTTCCGGCATGTTAGAAATAGCTTTTATCTTATCTGAATTCGGATGTATACCTTTGTCGTCTTTATCTACATGGCAGAAAATTTGATGGAGGCTAACCCCCTCCAAAATCTACCCATACCCACCTAAAAAAAATCCCGCGGCCTTCGGCCGCGAAATTTACAGACCTACGATGTTATAGTGATTTTATTTAAAAAATCTTATAATAAGCCACCATTTATAACCTTACAACATAATTCTATTTACAATCTTTCAAGCCTATTTATGGGAAAAATATTTAAAAAATTTGTGGGTGATAATAAACTTATATTTAAACAATGCAATCTTTTCATAATTTGGTTGATATTCACTTTATTTTCATAAAATATATATAACGGAATTAAATGAGATAACATATTAATATTTCAATAAAAAAGATCTAAAATATTGTTAAAAATATAAGACGAGTAATTTTAAAGAGGTATATTTAGCTTGATTCCACATACCTATATTACCTTTTAATTAATTAAAAACATGTATTGTAAATAGAGTTATTATATAAAATATTAGAATAAAATGAATTATAGTATATTTTGCATTGAAATTATAAAATGTTAAATTAATTTTCATTTTTTAAAAGCGTATATATTCGCTGTGAAAAAGATACATTTCTTATTTTATTAATAATTTGGATAACCTTATGCAAATTGTGTTATAATATCATCAATCAATTGTAAATTTTTCAAAAACATCAATTTCGCTGGATATTAACAGTAAATTTTCTAAAAATGGGTCCGAAATTTTATTCCGCATTCGAGTTTTGTTTATTTTTACTTTACTCATGGCTCTTTCGGCTGAACAGGAAGTTGTAGGAAGGGTTAATAAATATTTATATAATAAATTTAAATTAGAATAAGAATTTAATTGATTTAAAAGTCGGTATGGTAATATAAAAGAATATATTATCCATTTTTTTTATTTTGGTCATGATTTCGCTGTTGATATCTTCTTCGGTAGTTTGATCGTTTGCAATACCTTTAATTATACACAATTACAAATAAAATATCAATAAATTACTTTCATCGATATATAACGCGTCATTCTTTTAAACTTTCAAAAGATCTTCGCAAAAAATGATTGATTGATACTCCAAATATAAAGAGCGAAAATCATTATATTCATCAACAATGTTTTGGACATCCAATTGATAAGTGTGACAAATTTCGGATATTTGCTGTCCTTCTATTTTTTCATTATCCATAATTCCAGCGGGAGTAAAAATGGATATTTGTGATAAAAAATTTTAACAATCATCATTAAATCGATCATTTTGATGCTTAGTTATTGCATTTAGCACAGGGAAAAATATTTCCGTTTTATATCTATAACTATAAATAATAATTTGAAATTTTTTAATTTATTCAACTTGTTTTTTTTTGTTCAACATAATTATTAAATTTTGTTTCCAATTTGAATATTGATTTCATATTATACAAATCAGTTATTACATTATTCTTCTTCAAAGAACTAGTAGATAAGGAATGTAATTTTAAAAAAATAGTCTCCATTAGCTATATTTTAAAATTATTTATAGAAATAGTAACTAATATTAACCTTTTAGTCTTTGTAATTTATTTTTTGTATGTTGTATTAATTTAGTTACCATAGCCAAATCATTACCAACTGCCTACATTTCAATACAAGCCTCATGTGTACATTTCAATATTTCTTTCAAAATAAATAGACTTAATATAAAATTTTCATCCTTAACTCTGGATAATAATCCATCGGCAATGGAAGAGGTGCTTAGATCATTAGAATCTTTTAATTCAACTAATGATGCTAAAATATGTTCAAAAACATCTAAAAAGATTTCTACAGATTTGTAGGATGATGACCAATTTCTGAAAACATATAAGTTTCATTAAAAATATTTTATTTACCTTGTTGTGTTTTTAATTCTTTTAAGAGATTTCTTGGACTTTCTTATTTGATATTTAACATATACACCTTGACGTCTAGCTCCATTCATAAAATTATATAACTCATCTTATATTCCCATTGCCTTTTTCATTTCAATTTTGCATCCACAAACATAAGCAACTACTAAATTTAGCCGATGTGCATGGCACCAAATATAGATGGCTTTTGGAGCCTCTTTCAATATTAAAGCCTGCATTCCTTTGTATACTCCTCTCATATTCCCTGCACCATCCATACTTTGTCCAACCAAATAATCAAGAGGAAGACCAAGATCATTAAACTTACAAAAAACACATTTCTTCATATTTTCATCACTGGTTTCTGATGTTGTAAAAACATGTATGATGCTTTCTACAGGATGTGGATGCAGATCATCTTCTATATACCGTACAAACCAAGCTATGCATTCTTTTTTAGACACATCATATGTTCCATCTAATATGATGCTATAGGCACGATTCTCTTTAATTTTTTGAATAATGCTTTTTGTTATTTTTAT